CGGAGGAGCGGCAGAGCGGCCGAAGGCGCCGCCTCAGCCCGGCCGTCGCTCTGCCTTCGCTTTAGTCGTGCTTCGACTGCGGCGCCAAGAACCCGAGCTGGGCCAGCATCACCTACGGGGTCTTCCTGTGCATCGACTGCTCCGGCGTCCACAGGTCCCTGGGCGTGCACCTCAGCTTCATCAGGTGCGTGGGGCCCGGCGGCTTGCGCGGCGGGGAGGGGGGAGCCCCGGCCCCTGGGTGACCGCCGGGCAGGCCTGGAGCAGCCGTGCCTCCTCGGTGCGGGAACACGCAGGGAACCGGTTGGAGAGAAGCGTTGCCACGGAGCGATCGCTTCGGGTTTCATGTGGCTTGCTCGCTGGGGGGCTCTTCCGAGGTGGAGTTTCCAAGGCACCTCGGTGGAACGTCGGTGTCTTACTTTCGCTAACCTTGTAGAAACGCTGTCCGGACTCCGAATTGCAGAAGCTGAGAGGAGAGTGTGGTCTTGCCAGTAGAGCAGCAATATGGAAGTCTTTCTTGTAATGCTGAGCAAGGCAAAACCAAGAATATTATTTAAGCTTTTCTGTATTAACCTAGTGGGGAAGATGGTGTTGAATTTTCAGCCTACTGTTCTTATTTTCATAAAAGTTAGTGTTTTAAGTAACACAGCTGTGACCTTTACTTATTCAGAGATAAGTTGAGTAACTGGTATGAGACATACTCCGTCACCTAGCTTTACTTGGTTGTTTTCTCAGTTGCTTTGTCATGTGTGCTGGCCTAATCTGGGACGGGCTGAATATGAGTCTCATGTAGTGGTGAGGTGACATGTAGAATGGAAGTTGTTGGCTGTGCTTTCCTAGCTTAAGCTCTGCCCTCTTAACAGGCAATACAAGTGAGAGGTCCTCTAAATTTGGACACTGTTATTTGGTGTGAAGCTGAAGCTTTTCCTTACTTTAAAAGTTCAAATTAATTTCTTACGGGAGCAAAGAAGTTACCAAGATGTTCCTTCCCCCTTTGCCTCCTATACCCTGGGATAGTAGTGGGATATCTGACCGTTCTAGCTCAGAGCTTGCTTTTGCATTTGGTATGCCTGCACAGTATTAATAGAAATAATTGGTTCTCACACAGGTCCACAGAGTTGGATTCTAACTGGAACTGGTTCCAGCTGAGGTGTATGCAAGTGGGCAGCAATGCCAACGCGGTGAGGAGCCTCTGTAGGCATTTTGCTTGCTTTCCCTCTTCCTAATCCACATTCTCTTTTTCTTGTCCCTTTCCTTTGTGTGGCTTTCTCGGTACCGGCCTCATCTGAAACGTGTAATGAGGGGAGGTGTTTGTCAGGCGTGCTTGGAAGTCAGACTGTGACCTTTGAATGCATTCTTCTCTGACGCGCAGATCTGTCATTCCTTTACATCTCATTTAAATGAGGGGCGTAGTCCTCTTAAGTGAAAAGAGTTAGTAATGCTGATCAGTTTGAAAGCTCATGCTCAGCATTGAGACTCAGAAGCATCCTCCTGTGGAGGACAGGGATGGTTTTGTTAGGCCTCTGGGGCCTGGAGTGAGACGTCTTGGAGCAAGCTGATCAATGAACGGCTGGTTCATACTGTGTGCTCAGTATATCATCCCCTGTCTCTGGGAAGCTTCCTTTTTCTGTTGAGTTTATGTTTAATGCTTACTTGAGTATGATCTAGCAGTCAGGAGACTGAATGTTCTTCTCTTTTCAGACTGCTTTCTTCCGCCAGCACGGCTGTACTACCACAGATGCCAATGCTAAGTATAATAGTCGAGCTGCCCAGATGTACAGGGAGAAGATCCGGCAGCTGGCAAGTGCTGCCATGGCCAAGTATGGCACTGATGTAAGTCTGAGCAGCACTGTACCGTTAGATGCTGGATGCTGAGCCTTGTAGCATACCTTCTTGTTTTCCCCTCTTCTCTCTTCAGCTGCTTATAGATGGACTGAGTGGAGCCCCTGGGCACTCCCCTGACAAGAGTGATGCTGATTTCTTCATGGAGCACACACAGGTGAGAAGAACTATCTAAACCAGACAGCCTTAACAGCTCTCAAAGAGCCAGCTGTTCAGCCAGGAGCAGTCCCGCTTAGCTTGGAAGGACTGTACGTTGTATACTCATTCAGTAGTAACATGGAAGAACTAAGACTCAGTCATCAGCCTGGGACATAGTCGCAGATCTAAACAATCCCTCATGGGGCCTGTAGTCCTTTGTTTTCGAGACCATCTTTATCTTCGAGGAATACTCAGGGCTACCAGCTACTGCCTGGAAAACACTTTGTGTACTGCGTTAATGCATAGTCTCTTTGTACAGTTAGAGCAAGAACTGGCTATTACTTTGAACTTCTGGTTTAGTCAGCTTTCCAGTGCACAGACCCTGGTAAAGTGGATTTGGGCAACTGTTTGCACAGTGCTAGGCCGACTTTCTCAAGTGAATGGAGTAACGTGAGAATTGGCTGTATGGCAATAAAGATAGTGGAAGCTGAGATTATTTTTTTCCAGGGAAACTCATTCACACTTTGTCCCAGATTTAAGCTCATCTCCTTAACCTGCGAAGTCCTTGCAGTAGCCAGCTCTGATACTACTGTCGAGTGATGCTGTTGTTCCTCCTGGCCTTCTACTCAGCTTAGCTTCTGGGTTTTGGGTTTTTTTTGGGTTTTGGGTTGTTGGTTTTTTTTTTCAATTTTTGTCCCTGCTAAGGGAATGTGGACTTGTCCATATGTTATCTTATCTTCAATGAAGGCATAGTCTGGAGTTTGGAACACATTTCCTTTGGCCTGAAACTGAACACAGGTCACTAAACCTGAAGTAAGTTCAGGATTGTTCGGTTCATTCATCTTCTGCAAATCACTGGAATGAGCATCTCCTTGCAGTCTTCCAGTACCTGGGATGTAGCAGATGGCAGCCAGAATCCTGCACAGTCTTCCCCAGAGGTGGAAAAAGCAGCGAAGTCATCAGAAGGCAGTGAAGTGTCGAGTGAGTGAGAGACTTTTTGTGTGAGAATAATTTTTCCAAGAACCTGACTTCATTTCCAGGAGAATACACTTCTGCACCACAGCTGGAAGGGCTGAGCTCTTCCTTTGGTTCAGGCTTGAAGGAGTGGAAGCTTTGTGCACTCTACGACATTTAGTTAAATTAGTGGAGGCTTCTAAAAACACTGCTGTGTTTGGGATCAGTTCTCCGCTTTTCCTGAAATGCACACAAAACTGTTTTGGGGATTAGCTGCCCTGTTTCCCTGCTTCCAGACATAATTATTTGTCCAAACGCTCTTCTCTGTCCCTTGAATTTGATGGGTCTGGAAATGACATATGAATATAGAGCAAAAAACTGTTTCTAGGGCGAATGACAAGGAAACCAAGAATCTGGGGGTGTAGCTGTAATTTGAAACAGCTTTGTGTATTCCCCTGCGGAGTGTTTGCTTTCTTTTAATGTGTTAAGAAAACTCCAGAGGGAACAACTTGCTTTGTGGAGATGTAAAGTTGTGTTTGGGAAAGTGCACATTTCAAACTGTAACTTGTTTGGGGGAAGAGGAGGAAGGGCAGAGGAGGTAGAAGAGATACAGTAGAACTGTGAGCACACTGAAAAGAAGGGTTGAGAATCAGTCTGCTGAATGTTTTCTGGTTTTGTGATCACAGATTCCAGCCAAGGCCCATCTATTGACTTGTTGAGTACATCTCCTAAAGCTCCTCTAGGTAAGTAAGACTCTTCACTATCTTGCAGATCAGTCATGCTCTTATACTTGCTGTTCAGTAGTAAGCTCAGTGGAGCTGGAACTGATGAGCCAATTTTCAGAATGTCTAAAGGGGCTTATCTTCCCATGGAGCCAGTACCGAGGACCTCCCTGAACCCCAAAACCAAGCCACAGTTTACTGGAGGTTTCCTCCTCCTTTCCATGATCAAGTTCAAAGCTGTCACCTTCCCAAAAGCTTGTTTTCATTTTTTGAGCTTTGGACAAAACGTGGCATATGCATATCTAGAACTTGGCTGATCAAGGCCACGTGGCTGTGGTATTTGTTTTTTGGTTTGGTTTTTTTTTCCCCCAGAACCTTTGGAGGCAAATTAATTTCTAGCTTCCAGAGTAATAGGGATTTGTATCTGATCCTCCCCTGCCATTTCTATCCCAGCTGCCCACAGAGCATCTGGCTGGAACTTCCTTCCTTATTGAGAGTGTGCTCCTAGCCCACAGTGGGTTCATCCTGGGTGGAAAGCCTGTGTCTTCAAGTGTCTATTCATTCCCCGTATTTTATGTCTCTTCCTCAGACATGTCCATGTATCTATCAACACAAGGGCCTGCTCCTGCCAGAGGTAACTGGCTAACAGCTGGCCTGCGCTGGCTGCTTGTGACAACTCTGCTTGCCCCCTCTGTGATTCTGCCTTCAACTTTAGCTTCCTGTGCTTGGAGGGAGAGAGTGAGCCAAAGCTTACATGTACCGTATTGGGATCTAAACCCACTATTACTTCTCTGGAAAGGGATCTTATTGTCATTTCTGTTTAAATGTTTCCTGACATTAATAAAAAAAAGCCAAGCAACCCCAAATCAAATGTTAGGAACGGCAAGCTGAAAACAGTCTTGGATAGTGTGAATGTTTTGAATGCCCCTATTTCAAAAACTTACGGTAAGACTAGAAAAGATACAGGAAAGGCTGTCAAGAATGATCTAAAGTATGGGTTGACAAAAGTCACGTGGGTGTAGAAAGTAAGGAGACGCTTCTGTGGAAGAAAAGCCCAACAGGGGTGATAAAAGATTTTGGAGCTACATGTTGGGAGCTGGGAAAATGTCCTGGGCAGTCCCTCTCTGTTTGCTTTGTTCTTACACTTTTCCCCAGGCATCTGCTGCTTGGCTGGACCTTGGCTGGTTTTACAAGTGTGGCATGCTTCATGCCCTCAGAGTGACAGGTTCCTGGTGCGAGGTGTTGGGGAACCTGTTGCTTTTACAGCTCGCTGCACTTTAGGTCCGTTTTGTGATTGGTCTGTTCATGTAAACATGACTTGGGGTTCTTGCTTCTTTGTCCCTAAGGCATTGGTGAGGTGCTGACCTTCATATGGCTCTGAAGCTGCATTTTGTTGGATTTATGTATGGAATAAACCTAGTCTGTCTTGAGCTACCCTGATCCTTACTGGGCAGGGTCACCAACTGCATGACACTTGGAAGAGCTAGTCAATGGTCTTCATTCCCTTACGAGTTTCCCCAGCAATGGACATGCTTCTCTAGGCCACCAGCCTGAGCCTGCAATTGTGGAGCTTCTAAGCGCATCTTTCTTGGCTGGGTGAAGTCACCCAGGCTTCTGATGTGAAGCTGCATGGTGTGCCCTGGACTCTGTAGCAGCTGGACTGTGGTGGATGTTTGTGTGGGTTGCCGACTAATTCTGGCTTCTTAATTAATTCACTTCTGCTTATTTGCTGCTTCCCTTCTCTTGCAGAACTTAAATCCTCCCTCATTGGAAAGAAGAAGCCAGGAGCTGCCAAGAAAGGGGTATGTCTGAGCTCTTGCTTTATGGAGAGGAGGTAGAGCATGTCTCGTATTACTGCCGTCCTTTCCCTGGCCCTTGCTTTCTGCCCTTAACAAAGCTGCGTACTGAGAGATCCATTTGGGGCAGGGAGAGCTTTGATTATATCACTGCTTATTTTGAAAGATAGCTTGTATATTAATGGACAAAAACAATTAGGTTTTGGACTATTACTTGTTGTGGTCTGAAGTGTATGCAGCTGATCTCTTAGCACTGGCCACTGGTGGGTTAACTCTTGGGTGTTCTTTCATACTCTGTTGCAAGCCCTGTTGGGTCTGTAGGTTGTGACTACACCTGGAGACTGAAGGCCTGACCAATGCAGCAAGGAGTAGGATTCTGGTTTTCTTCTACAATGAACAATCTAGGGTGAAGAAATTGCATTTTTTTTTTGTTTTGTTTTGTTTTTCAAGTTGGGTGCAAAAAAAGGTCTTGGAGCCCAGAAAGTGAGCAGCCAGAGCTTCAGTGAGATTGAGCGGCAAGCCCAGGTGGCAGAGCAGCTGAGGGAGCAGCAGGCAGTGGAATCCAGGAAACAAGCTGAGGAGTCCATGTAAGTGCCCTGTTTGGGCTGAATACCTTGCATATGTAAGGCACAAGTAATATGGGGTTAATGCTGTTCACCCTAGGACCACCTAATGTGAGTACAGAACGTGCTGCATGATAGGATGAGCAGTAGCTATAAGCCAATATGGCCCTTACAGCAGGGCACAAGTTATACTGCCATATTTTATTCAAATTAGCATCCCTGGAAGAGTTTAAGGAGCAGATATGGAAGTATTTTGTGTTTCTGTTGACCTTTGGACAGGACTGAAAAAGGCAAAGGCTGAACTGGATGGGGCATTCTCTTGCGGGAGGTGGGCCAATGCTTACAGTAGGGAAATCATGGTTAGCCAAAAAAGAGTTGAATCCCAGTGGAGGTGACATGGGAAGACAAGCAGTAGCTTCTGTGCAAGGATTTTTGGCAGAGCTGTTGTGGAAATGGATGTTTTGATGGGTTGTCAGGGTTACTCTCCCCCTTGCCCCTCCACAGCATGGGCTGGGGGGGGAAGGGTAACGAGGTGGTACCCACCATAGCTCTTTCCTTTAGAGTCACCTCAATGCGACTGGCTTATCAGGAACTGCAGCTCTTTTTGAAGAAGGAAGAGAAGAAACTTCAGAACCTTGAAGGGAAGAAGCGTGAACAAGCAGAGAGGCTGGGCATGGGCTTGGTGTCCAGAAGGTACTTGGCTGTGGATGGCATAGGACAGACAGGTGCCTTGGAAGCACCCTGCTCTGGAAAAGTTTCCTGAAGGCAGGAGCTTGCTGCTCTTGTAACAGACAAGGAGCTGATTTAAAGTGCTCGTATGCTGGACTATGTCTAAAAATGCTTCAGGCCCCAGAAGGAATGAGCACCCTGTTCACAGGTTCTAGTTCTCATTTAAGCTTTTCCAAAGATGCGTGTGGCCTGTCAGTGTCCAGCCCTAGAGCCCTGCTGCTTGCCAGGTGCCCCCCTGCAGAATACTTCCCTTAAGAAAGTAGCTCAAGACTTCTGCAGGAGTCAGGATAAGCTAGATAAGTGGTGAATGGGGCTGGCATCCTACAACTCTCCCTCAAGACTTGTGGCACCTGCCCTGCCTGTGAAGGCCAGATTCAGTTTTGAGGCAGACTGGTTGTAGGGGCTGGACTGCCCTGACTGCCTGTTTGTTGTGCTAGTTCTGTTTCGCACTCGGTGATGTCTGAGATGCAAGTAATTGAGCAAGAGACGCCGCTGGCTGCAAAATCTTCCCGCTCCCAACTGGACTTGTTTGAAGATGCTGGAGGCTTCGCAGCTGGACCCCCCAAGTAAGACTTAGCTTCAGTGTGGTCTTCGGCTTATTCCTGAATTTAACGTCTGGCCTAAATTACCTGTTTTTGGTACCTAGGTACAAATATAGTCCCTTCTCATTCGAAGACGCATTTGGCTCACGATGGGAAACGGACTCTTCATGGGGTATGGACAAAGAGGAGGAACCCGAGGTGACCATTTCCAGTATTCGGCCAGTTTCAGAGAGGTAAAAGTGCCTCCCACTGCTACTGTACCTTCCTTGTGTGTAGGACAAAGGGATAGGTCTAGGAGCTGTGGGCAGAGGATGCTGCTGTGTTATGACAGGAGCCCTGTGCTGCAGAAGATAACTTGCATGGACAAGCCCAAGAAAAAAGGGCCTCCAGTGAAAGAGGCTTGGGCACTTCTTTGCCTGTGGTGTCCCTAAGTTTGATACAGCCTTTATGGTCATCAAGTGCTGGCTGTCCTGAGGTGGGGAGGGGAGAACCCTGACTGTAGCTAGCATGTGAGGATTTGTTGCTTTCCGTTGATCAGGTGAGGTCTGAGAGAGAAGTCTCTTTCTTTACTGTGTTGGTGAGCTTAAGCTGAGATGTCTCCTCTCTTGTTTCCTCAGGCCCCCCAGTAGGCGGGAGACGGAGAACAGGACATCAGTTGTGGAATCCAATGAAGCTCGGCAGAAATTTGCAGGGGCTAAAGCCATCTCTTCAGATATGTTCTTCGGGCGGGAGGCAGATGCTGAGGTAGGTGCATTCTGCAGTGCTTAAGCTGGTATAGCTCTGGCTTCATCTTGTCCTGTTTGCGCAGGTCCTACTTTGTTCCCTTCCTTTATAACCATTCTGTTTTGTTTTGTTTTCTGCTGCAGTATGAAGCCAGGTCCCGACTGCAGCAGCTCTCGGGCAGCAGTGCCATCAGCTCTGCGGACCTGTTTGGAGAGGCTGAGAATGCGCACTCAGGTTTGTTGGCGCTCAGTGGGCTGAGGAAGGGGGCAGCTTTGGAGGACCTAGACTGGAGAGGGTCGGGGTGCTCTCTGGAGCTGGGGGACTCCAGGGTGACTCCTGCTGGTTCTCGTAGGTGGTGTCTCAATTGGAAATGTCCTGCCTACAGCTGACATTGCACAGTTCAAGCAAGGAGTGAAATCAGTTGCTGGCAAGATGGCCGTCCTAGCCAATGGGGTGATGAACTCCCTCCAGGTGAGGTTACACTGTGGCACCTTCAGACAGGCTATCATCATGCTCAAGGACTTTCACCATATCCCGGCTTCTGCCGGAATTATCATTGTCTTCTCAAATTATGTGGAAAGTCCCAGGTAGAGACCTGTCTTTTGTAGCTGATGACTATGCTACAATAGCTGAGCAATTCCAAGTGGCCAGTGAACTCTACTTGGCCAACCTTACTCTCCCGCTGGACAGAACACCTTGTTATGTCAGATAGGCCTTTTCCCACAAATCTCAGGCAGAACTTAAAAAGTTAAGGCCATTTAACGTCCTGCCTTTGCATGGTGTCCTGTCTAGGTAACCTCACGCAGCATTCTAATCCCAAACACCCCAAGACCTTGTTATCTGACTTGAGTTTGCATGAAGTGTTGTAGCATGGTGTCTCGGTGTGTTTCCTCCCCAGGATCGTTATGGCTCATATTGATGACGCAGGGACTGCAACTCACAGGGAAGCCAGCAAGAGGCACTGATGCCACCTTTGCCTGGAGTAAACTCTGCAGGATTGTCTTAGTTTGTCTGGGGCGGGTGGGGAGGGGAGAAGGTAAGCAGAGGGGGTCAGGACATGGCTGTGCCCAGGATGCTTTCCAAATATCTCTGGATTCCACTCTATTAAAATTCAATGTGCCCTCATAGCCACTGCTATCTACTAGCCAGTGGAGACAGGCCTTCTTACAGGATTAACCTCACTGCTGTAAAAGAGATGACAGGAAATCCTGGGCTGCCCTCATCAGTGCTCCTGTCCTTCTTGGCCCATACCTTAGCTCACCAAGTGATAGAGGAAAGGGGAATGCTATTTTTCTGAACATCGTGTTACCTGGTTCCCACGGACATGACTGGTTTTTTTTGTTCTGCTCTGTGCTCCTGATCCATGGTGCTGTGGAGTCCTCTGTGTTTGCAGGGTCTGACTTTTACCATGGCATAATCTTTTTTACTGTCTTGTAAACCAGCATATATTGGTGCAGGAGAAAAAAATCAAAGCGAAGATTATTTTTTTAGCTTCTAATTACATCATCAGCAAAAAAGGCCCAGGTAAAGAAATACTGTAAAGATATTTACTGTATCCCTGGTTATTTTGTTGCCCAGCTTTGGACTGAGGTCAAAGTCCCGAACCTCTGACTTCACCATGAGGTGAACTTCTGAAGTGCAGCAGTGAGTGAGGACTGACATTTTAGTCTTGTTCAACTTGGCTCTCTGCTCCTGACTCTGGTTTTAACAAGAGCATGTTTTTCTCTTCCTTGGACTGTGGTGCTGAGGACTGGGTACTAAGAAAAAGGGGGGGAAAGGGGCTAGTTACACATTAACTATTAGGAAAAAGAGAGGCTGGGGCTGTTTGTTCTGAAGTTTCTGTCAGCAACCCTCTCTCTAGGGCCGTTAACAGGCTTGCATGGGCTTCACCTCTGAAGCTGTGGCACCCGAAGGGCTGGGGGCGGGAGGGGAAGGGTTACTCTGCCGGGACTGGGTACTAAGAAAAAGGGGGGGAAAGGGGCTAGTTACACATTAACTATTAGGAAAAAGAGAGGCTGGGGCTGTTTGTTCTGAAGTTTCTGTCAGCAACCCTCTCTCTAGGGCCGTTAACAGGCTTGCATGGGCTTCACCTCTGAAGCTGTGGCACCCGAAGGGCTGGGGGCGGGAGGGGAAGGGTTACTCTGCCGCTGCGGTGGGGCAGGAGGGGGGGTGAGGTCGGGCCTTCCTGTGGCTTTCTCCCCGGTGCCGCGGCTGCACCGTAACGGAACCCGCGGCGGAGCCGGGGC